AACCCAAAGCGCACCCAGAGCGGTCCCAAATTTTCTGAAATCGGACCCGCAGCGGACCCCGAGCGAACCCAGGAAGCGAACCCGGGGTGCGCTTTGGGTTCCCTATGGTGTTAGGTTGTGTCCGGTTGGTACTGTACCTAATTTACTATTTCCCAGGAGATAAAACTTCTCCCTTCGAGACATTTTTTTAATACTCGTTATAGTTATTATCGCGATTACCTCGCATTATCTAACTTACTGCAGCTCTTTTGCGATAAAATCAAGAAAGTTCTAAATTTCTCGTCATTTTCGGGCATAACATTTTGTTTAAGCTAGTGACAATTGAATGATAGGAACAGTAAGTATGCGGAATGTACAATGTAATGCCGATGATTGCACTTCAGAAAGTAAGGCATCTTATTAGGACTCTTTAGACTTTCAAAAATAACGTTTATCTGAAAGAAAAGATTGAATTTATTATCATAGAATAGGTGGCTTAGCGGAAAATATCCAGAAAAATGTAACACAAGAGAACCAGCTTCTCCTGAATTTCATCAGCGTGGAACAGCGAACATTTAGCACGGTATTTCAACAGGACTCCTATAAAATCTGCAGGGATCGATCTCATAGTGTAGTCAATAGCACATTGTCTCGAGCTAATCGAGATTTCCTACCTTCAACGTTAAAGAGTTCCATTACGTTAAGAAATCGCAACATCAAGTACTCTTTCTTTGAAATAGGTTAAATTACCCTTATGACACGAGGTTGTATAAAACTAAAATAAGTTGTGCGTTAAAACACTTAATTTAGAGGTGATGATTAAATAAATAAGCCTTGGCAGTGATTGGTAATTAAAGCAGTTTAACTATTCGAGTGTATTTGCAAGTACTTCCATGACCAGTCAAAAAAGGCGTTTCTCCTTTTTCAGGGAAACCGCAGGTAGGTATAGTCAGTATTGCATAGTTCATATCATGCCTACGTGTGTCATTATTTGTAGAATACAAACTTTAAATCTCATTCACTTCAATTAGGGAAGCAACCACCAAAGCGCATTTGCCATCAAGATGCAACAGGGGAGGTTATTTTAGCTATGAAACGCTGGCTATAAAATGCATATGTTTATGCATCCATTAAGTAATTGTAACAAGGTTGTTCACATATTTTTACTTTCTTTCATTCCAATTATTTTTGATGGACCATAGCTGGTTCATAAATTGTGAAGAGGGAATTTAATTCATACAGCTGGGGAAATAAAGGGGGTTAAGGACACACATATAGTTAAGAGTATTATGATGACTAAAAGTTGAGAGGTGACGTAAATGTCTCGTGTTTGTTCAATTTGGTTCTGATTCAGTCCAAACATTTTAGTACAACTATAAACAATACTTGCAAGGATAATTTAACTTCTTATAAAAGCCATAAAGGGGCTTAATAGGAGTAACAGTCTAGTAGGTAAGTTATACGATTAAATAAACCCACGGGACGGGAAATACAGTGCAGATTTGATCCACAATTTTAGATTAAATGAGGAGTTGTTTTAAATTTATACTGACAAGTCCATAACTGCATTTTAACATATTTGTTAAAAACTCTATAACGGAATAGGTGAATGACTGTTGACTATTTAAATTCATATTTTGTTTTTATGCATTAATTAGTAATAGTTTGAATTGATTGGTGAACTGTCGCCGTCACCATGGTTCTTGGCATCCCATTGGTGGCGTTTGCAGTTCCATGATTACTCGTAGTAGACACATGTAGTCATGGTCCTGGCAAATTGTGTATTCCGTCGCACTTCAACGCAACTGGAGGAGTGCAACACATTCCATTGTTTATCCTATTGCACATGAAAATTGAAAATCAGGAATTGAATTTGTGCTTTGGCTTGTTATTGACAAGCAGTTGACTTGATTGATATTGAATTGATTGATTGGATTGATGATTGATTGAACCTTTTTTGATACATGAATTGGTGACGTTCATGCACTTGTGACCTACCCAGTGCATGACCCGCCTGATTTGGGTCGTCACACATTTGTTGTATTGATTGTTGATTGTGGGGCAGACCCCATGGTAGCAAATTGATCACCGCGGTCAGAAGCGCCGAATAAAACAAGCAAAATAATATCTCTGTTGTTTGTTTGATTTATAGGGAATCTGAAAAAAAACACAGCTTCTGTAAGCCTGCTCTGAGTTAAGTGAATTTATTTCAGTAACCCTAGTTACATTTATCTATTCTAGATAATTTATGTACATTCGGATATATAAATATTAACCCTTATTCACAAGCTATCATTTCAGATAATTTTGGTCCAATTGTATATAGTCTAATAATAAGTTCTTTTCTACCTCCTTTTTCGAAGAATCGATGAAACGGTAAAGTCATGAACAATTTTAGAAAGTTAAATTGTGGCAGTCTTCTAAATTTTACTCACAACTCTCCCCATTCATGTTTTTAGAACAAATACTGCTGCTTTTTGTTCTGTCATTGTAGCTGAAGACTGCCTGCTTGATCTAGCTTGTACAACAGCCCATGTCGTGGTGGGGAATTATGTGTGTTCGCATATTATGTAAAGACAGTCTGACTAGTCTAGCACTAGTCCGAAATATCTGACGTTTTCCTGGCTTTTTTACGATTTTGATATTTTACGTGCCAATTTTCCCGGCACGTAAAATATCAAAATCGTGAAAAAAAAATTCCAGGAAAACGTCAGGCTCCGGGGCCATAAAACTTAGATGAGCTCACTTTTGATCTCAGTCTCACTTTTACTAAAGGAATTAATAGAAGAAAAGTGAGACTGAGATCAAAATTGAGTTAATCTAAGTTTTATGGCCCCGGAGCCAGATATTTCGGACTTGTCTAGCACATACATCAGCCTATGTCATGATTGTGAATTCTATGTTTTAGCGTATTCCGAAAAGACAGTCTGATTGGTCCAGCGTCCACATCAGCCTACATGAATGTCGCGGTGGTGAACTCTTTGTGTATGCGTATTCCGTGATGACTGCCTGCAGGGTACAGCGTCCACTTCAGCCTTTATCGCGGTGGTAATTCTGTGTGTTTGCGTATTCTGTCGCACCTCATCGCAACTGGAGGAGTGCAACACATATTATCATGCCCATTCCATTGTTTATCCTATTGCACATGGAAATTTAAAACCAGGATTTGAATTTGTGCATTGGCTTGTAATTGACAAGCAGTTGACTTGAATGATATTGAGTTGATTGATTGAAAGTGGTGACGTCCATGCACTTGTGACCTACCAAGTGCATGACCCACCCGATTTAGGTCGTCACACATTAGTTGTATCGATTGTTGACTTTGGGGCAGCCCTGTGGTAGCCCCAGCAAATTGATCACCGCAGCCAGAAGTGCCAAATTAATTAAGTAAAATAGTATCTCTGTTGTTTGTTTGATTTATAGTGAATCTGAAATAAATTTATATATATAAATATAGGAAGTTCTATCACAGTCATCACAGTCATGCTATCAATGAGTGTAGTTCTTTGTATAATTGATTGATTGTATGTTGTTTTACGTCCCACTCAAGAATTTTTCACTCATATTGAGATATCGTTCTTTGTATAAAGTATGATGTTTATTTGAAATTAAAAAAAAAAACACTTCCGTTAGAACATTACACAATCATTCGTCAGCTTCATTTTAATTTTCTGAAGTTTTATTGATGTTATATAGCAGGCGACACATGCGTTCTTTGAAACATCCTAGCTCATTATGAAATTTTGCTAATAAATTATGTATTTGATAATGAATATTGTATGTTTAATAGAAAGTGTGAAAATCACTTGATGTGCTAGTGTGTTGCGTCGCTAGTAGATCAGAGTGACACTGAACGATCAATTTACCGGGCGGCTGTCAGTCTGTCTAGCTGTCTGTGTGCCTGTCCATCCATCCGTCACACAAATCTCAAGAAGTTCAGGAGGTATTTATTGATACTTTGGTCGTATATAATATTTCTTGATACCACAGTGACTTTACCTTGACATTTTCAAGAATACTACCAGTTTATTTAACTATCTATTGAATTTTAAAAGACATTAATTTGATATCTAGTTCATATATTAGATGTTTATGTGCTAATGATACTGCACTTTTCAAATGTTTGATAAACAGTTTAACACAAACTAAATAAAACTAAAAGCTAAATTTTTAATGATAAAAAAAATCGGGATGAGTATACAGACTGGGATCAAACTTCAATTAAAGTTGTATTCTGACAATTGCAGTAGACAAATTTGGATGGAAATCTTTTAAAATAATAACTATGAAATATAAAGATAACGAACAGTAATCAATCTCAAAAGTCCATTGAAACAATACAGATTTGGAGCAGAGCAAATACGGACCTTTTAAAAATATCAGAGGTGGGGTCTGGTGCCATAGAAGAGTAGGCATCCACTGCCAACCAGCCACAAAAACCGTGTCCTCCTTGTCATGTTCGGACAAATGAAAAACCCTAAGACAATTCAGTGTGAAAAAAATAATATTACATTTTCAGCAGTGAAATACTGTAATTTATTTATTGAATAAAAATGATATTCTGACACGGTGTGAAAGGATATCAAAATGGTATTTCACAGTGTGAGAGAATATCACCAGTGCCACAAAACTATCGATTTTCCTTCCCTTCACGATGAGTGCTTTAAGAAAAAAAAAAACTCCCTGGCCTGTTATAAGATAGAAAGAGTAAATGAACCATCCTGACATAGACTAATACTGCCAAAGTTTCTTCAGATATGATGTTAAAAATCCATATTTACAATGTTTTCAATCTCGCAATCGCGTAGTTATGACGTCTCAACAGCTCAACTATCACGTCACAACCATGGCACTGTGTTACGAATTGACAGAGGCAAAGGAAAAATCAAAAATGTAATTAACAGAAAATTCAATGTTTTGTGGATGAATATGAAATTAATTTCACTCGTGAGACAGGATTTTTTTAAATATTTTTTTTTTTTATGTTTAAAAAAAAAAAAAAAAAAAAAAAAAATCCTGTCCTACTCGTGAAATAAATTCCGTATTCAAGCACAAAACATTCAATATCCTCTATTTAATAAATAGGTGGAAATATAGCGTTTGTATTGACTAATATAGATTCGAAAATATATTAAATAGAAAAAAAAATGGCTCATTAAAATTAAATACACCTGTAGTGATATATAGAACATAAGCAAATTCAAACAACATTATAGACAACATTTGGTTCATTTTCATTAGTTTTTCAGCCCCATTTCCGTGTCCCTTTTCGGTGTTTTCTTCCAAGTGTTCATTAGCAAAAATTTCATCCTTTCTTGCAGAAATAGCAGAATTGTTTGATTCATCATCAAAGGATATGATTTCAGGATTTAACTCTGAAGTCTGTTGAATTCTAAAGCATTTTGAGTCTGAAAAAAAAAACAGCAGAGAAAATAAACACGTCATTTTCAGTAGCAAATGATAAGTGCATATATTTATGTTAATATTTGAACACTTGGCAAGTGTTTCAGACAAAGTAACTAGCTATCAATCGGTGATAGATCTGAAAAAAGGACATCTGACAATCACCACATGTTAAGGTTCTGTTGTACATTTTCTTTACGGAAGTGACGGGAGCGCATTGGAACCGCGTTGTAATTTTTTCCATGAAAAGAGCAAAAGTCACTTAGGGCGTTTTTGGCCCTGTGTATTTCTGAAAATTCAAAACTTTATAGTTTTACTCGAGAAGGCAATAAATACTTGAGCACTTGGTGAATGAATATTTAACGAAAATGACATAATTTTTTTTTTCTAGTCAATGCATTATGACGTCATGAATTGCGTCATTATTCACATATCCTGATATTTCTTCTAAAATGGCCAAAATATGCCATTTTTCAATATTTCGTATACAGCACAACCTCCGATCCAAAATGTTTAACTTTATTATAAAAGAACTGTTAATGAAGATTATAGAACATATTTAAGGTTTTGGATCGAGGGATATGCTCATATTTTAATTCTTCGCTGAAGGTTCTCAAAACACCTATTTCCTGCAAAATTCAATAACATTGCAATTTCACACAGTCTGTTTTTTATTCTGTTTTTCCAAATTCAAGATCGTTTTTTTTCAATTTTAACGTTTGTCATTCAAAAGTTTAAAGTTGATCATTCTTACTTTAATATTGGTTTTTTTTTATAACTTTGAACTTGGTAATTCTAAAAACTTTAACATTGCCCGTAACTTTTGATTGGTTGGAGCATGGCTTTCATATTTTACATGTGTATTCCTTGTGACAAGAACTTTCTTTGGGTACCACCTTATTTGACCTTTTGACCTTGACCTAGTTTTACAAAATTTTACCCAACTTTAACCTTGGCCATAAAATTTGAATAGTTGAAGTTAGGGCTTTCATACTTCACATGTGTAATTCTTTTGACAAGACCTTACTTTGGATACCAACAACTTTGACCCTTTGACCTAGACCTTGGAGTTTGACCTACTTTTGATAAACTTTAGCATTGGCCATAACTTTTGAATGGTTGAAGCTAAGGCTTTCATTCTTCACATATATAATCCTTGTGACAAGTCCTTCCTTTGGATACCAATAGCTTTGACCCTTTGACCTTGACCTTGGAGATTGACCTACTTTTGAAAAACTTTAACTTTGGCCATAACTTGTGAACCGTTGGCGCTAGGGATTTTATACTTCACATATGCAATCCTTGTGACAAGACCTTCCTTTGGATACCAACAACTTTGACCTAATGTGTTTAATAAATATGATATCTTATTAGTTAACAAATATGGTCCAAATACAAATAATCCATTTTTTTTCAGTCAGTATCAGAAATAGTTTCAAATTTTCAAGGAGAATTTGTAATTATGGCTGGTGACTTTAATCTGGTTCAGGACACAAAATTGGACTACTATAACTAATACTAATATAAAAAGACTAACCCTACAAAAAAAAGCGAGACTTGATTTTTTCTTAGTTTCTAATGAATTGATGGCTCAAAGGCTTTATCAATGGTAGATTTATTGGAGAGAATACACGAATGATTTACGATGTAATTAATACAGTACATGAAAAACATATTCTTGGTATGATATTACTTATTGACTTTGAAAAAGCATTTTACTCCATAATGGAAATTTATGTTTAATACTTTGATTTTTTTAAAGTTTTGTCCTGACCTTATTGAATGGGTTTCAGTATTATATAATAAAGCTAATGTATGTGTTATTAGAATGGTATTTTTTTTTTAATTTTTTTGAAATTGGTAGGGGTTGTTGTCAAGGTGACCCAGTACCTCCTTACCTCTTTAATCGTTGTGTTAGAAATTTTAGGACACATGATTCGACAGAATAGAAATATCAAAGGCATTAAAATTGGGAAGGAAAAAGTTTGTCTTATACAATATGCAGATGACACAGTTCTTTTTCTTGATGGATCAGAAAAGAGTCTTAAAAGTGCGCTGGATCTTCTTTTTCAATTTTCAAAATTTTCAGGTTTAAAGCCGAGTATTTCAAAAACAAAAGCAGTCTGGATTGGTTCTAAAATAAACACAGGAAATACAATCTGTATGGAGACAGGATAAAAATGGACTACTGAAGCTTTTACTGTTCTTGGTATAACATATACTGCAAATCTTAAAAACGTGGAGGAACTTAATTTCGACAAGAAGTTTAAACTTATTCAGAAAGAAATAAACCATTCGTCAAAAAGAAATATTACCCCTCTAGGAAAAATAACAGTAGTAAAAAGTTTGTTCCTATCAAAGTTTACTCATTTATTCATTTCTCTTCCAAAGCCAAGTTTGCAGTGGATACAGCATTTCGAAAAAACCTTATACAAATTCATATGGGGAAACAAACTTGATAAAATTTCTCGAAAAACACTACAATTTGATTTCGGAAATGGTGGATGTAGAATGACCAATATAGAAACATTTATTAAATCTCTTAAGCTAACTTGGATTAGGAGAATTTTAACAACTGATTTAGATTGGTGTAATATTTTTTTTCTGAAATTACAGGATGTAAAATTACCAAGTTATGTAGAGTTGGGTCTGAATACAGTAAACAAAGGGCAAAAATCGCATAAAATATTTTTTTGGAAAGAAACTCTATATTATTTCGCAGAATTTTTAGAAAGTTTTAATTTAAATCCATTGTGTGAACCAGTGTGGTATAATAATAAAATAAAAATTCAAAATAAATATGTATTTTGTAAGCAAATGTTTGATAAAAGTTTCCACATAGTACATGACTTATTTGATACAGAAGGTAATTTTATTAGTTATGAAAGTATCACAAATGATTATTTAGTAAAATTACCATTTACCACATATGAGATTCTGAAGCAAAGTATTTTGAGTGTATGGCCAAATATCAAGCAATTGTCATATAATACTAATGTTAAACCATATCAACCTGAATTTATAAAAAAAAAATACTTTGTAAGAACAAAAAAGGATCCAGAAATATTTATGATTATTTTATGTCAAAAATACAGCACAAACCAATTTGTGAAAACAAATGGGCCACTGATGTAAAGTTAGAGTCAAATTTCAACTGGAAACATGTTTTTGCAAACTTTAAATTGATAACAAAAGACACAGGACTTATGTGGTTTAATTATAGAATTATTCATAGAATATTAGGTACTAATAAGTACTTATATTTTTCTAAAATTAAAAATTCACCACTTTGTTCAATATGTAAATTAGAACCAGAATCATTTAAGTATATATTTTTCTACTGTCCACAGGTTTCTATGACTTGGCTAGAATTGTCAGATTGGATTTTTCAAAAGTCTGTTAAAAGAATTGAATTTGATGTGAAAACTGTTATTTTTGGTTATCTTGTAAAAGATCACATGGTAATAAATTTGATAATCCTGTTGGTGAAGAAATACTTATTTCAACAATCAAGAAAAAATAATAATATTGTCTTTAATGAAATTTCAAAATATTTAAACAATTACTATACTTTAGAAGAAAAAATGTCAGAAAATACAATTTATAAAAATAGGTGGTCCAAGTTGAAATGTCTTTTTAATGTGTCTAATAGTAACTCTTAGTATTATGAATGATTATGTATTGTATATCGGGTATTTATGTTTATTTCTGTATGTATGTATATATATATATATATATATATATATATATATATATATATATATATATATATATATATATATATATATATATATATATATATATATATATATATATGTATGTATGTGTATGTATCAGTCCAGCAGGTATGAGAGTGGGAGAAAGAGGTGTATATGTTTTGCAATTACATAAAAAAAAAAAAAAAAGGAAAAAAAAACTTTGACCCTTTGACCTTGATCTTGGAGTTTGACCTACTTTTGGAAAACTTAAAATTTAACCATAGCTTTTGAACCATTGGTGCTAGGGCTTTCATGCTTCACATATGTAATCCTTGTGACAAGACTTTCCTTTTGATACCAACAATTGTAATCCATTGACCTTGACCTTGGAGTTTGACGTATTTTTTGAAAACTTAAACCTTGGTTATAACTTTTGAACGATTGGTGCTTCAGCTTTCATATTTCACCAAAATATTTCTTGTGAGAAGGCCTTTCCTTCGACACCATTATTTTTTACCATTTGACCTTGACCTTGATGTTTGACTTACTTTTGAAAAACTTTAACCTTTTTCCATATCTATTCAATGGTTTCTGCTAGGGCTTTCATATTTCACAGGTATATTCCTCGAGACAAGACCTTACTTTGGGTACCAACATATTTGATTTGCATTTGAGAAAGTTTAACCTTTGCTATAAGTTGCCATACGGGGACATCGGTGTTTCATAAACACATCTTGTTTTTTTTTTTTTTCGTCTTTAAATTTGGCGTTTCCATCTCATATTTTATATGTTTAATATGATTGATCTTTGCTTTCTCAACTTCAAACTTGGAATATCCAACTTAAATATTTTTCATTCAAAAGTTTAAAGTTGATCATTCCAACTTTTTGGCCTTTATAACGTCAAACTTGGTAATATCAACTTTGATCTTGGCTTTTCCACGTTAATTTTCTTTTTTGCAATATTAAATTTAGCTCTTCCAACTCATATATTAGGCTTTCCATCTTAATTCTTTTCTTTTTAATCTTTAGTTTTGGCTTCATGCGTTATATTTGAGTACGTTATAAGCTGATTACGTCGCGCATCTTTTCAATTACCGTTAGAATGGAAAGAAATGGTATATTCAGGAACATTTGAAAAATTGATATCACCTTTGTAATTAGCCTTACATTTTGCAAGAGTGTTTTATACCGATACATCATTAAATAGTTTTCAAATAAATACTTCTTTCATCTGAATATCAAAATATACAAGTCCCAGGAGCATTTCGTTGTTTTACATTGTGGAACTTTAACAAACTTTAAAAAAATATCCTTAAATTTTAAGAAAGTTGGGAAATTGACGTTGCATTGATAAATAAAACTATAGTAAAGAAAAGTTAGAATGGGAATGTAAGAACGCGATACCAAAATACAGGTGTCGTCTCTTCAATCTTCATGTTCAAAAATATGTGTGGTGTTTGCAAATCCAAAACACCCGATAAAGGTAAACAAAAACAGTAACAGAACTCGTGTTTACAAACACAGGTGTTTATTTAAAGGCTATGATGAGCATCATTGTAGTTGAATATTACATATGTTCAATTCATTAAACTTAAGTTATTTTTATGAAATAATAACGAAATTAATATCTGTAAACAAATCCAGCAATGTAATTGTGTCCATATCCCTCATGATGATAAGCATTCTATGGTATGAAGGCTCAATAGACAGATGTATTTTTTTTTTCAGTAGATCAACTGATTTTAATCTTACTAGTTTATGCAGCTATGTAAATGACCCCCATAGGAAATATGCCTTAAGATATTCTGAAAAAAAATATAATAGTGTTGATATATGTTTTTTTCAAAACAGCAGGAGTTTCGATGAATGGATTCCTGCTATTTGCATATGCATATCTCTGCTTAGTTCGGCCAAAGCGACATCTCTTATATCAGCTGTGACAGGTTTAAATTGAGAAAAATGTGTAGCTACAAAGATCGTAAAAGTTCAACTATATACGGATACCTTTCCTCTATGAATTTGTTTGTGTTTTGTTTGAGACAAATTCCATGGAATGAAAAGTGATTAAAGCAACTTTCTCTTGCTCGGGGATAATGTAAAATATAATATTTCGATTAACTTCCTACATGTACGTAATACGCATTAAAATAATGTTAAATATCGGAACAAAGCAACAAAGCACAACCGGATACCACCACTTTTCAAAATAGTAGAGATATTATAGCTAAACGTGATTGAAAAGTCGTAGATTATAGTAAAGGGGATATCGTTGTACTTTTGAACCTTTTTTTTTTTTGGGGGGGGGGGGTGTGCCTGTCATTCTAGTACATAACTACGGCTTTATATGAGATCTATAAAATATATATTTTCACTTTAATTTGACTGTAAAATATTGATTAAAACATTCAAGATTATGTCTCTCCATTTTGGTCAGATTACGCTTGTTTCATTCTACGTTCGGATAGTGTTACTGTGGCAAGACAAGTTGCACATCAATTTATCTTTCCATTATTTATGAGAAACAAGGTGTTTTAGTTTGCATGAAAATAACATTAAAATTTATTCATTGATATTCATTTGTATTGTTTAAAAATGAGTCTTAATTATTTCCCGAATCTCTGCATAAACTGAGGAAGGTATTGGAGATCTTAACCTAGCTGCGCAACTAGAGCTTTAAATCATTCCTTTTTCAGATCTAATATGAATTGTAATGGAAATAAGGTTAAAATCAATTGCCTCTCTGCATCTATAAGGGAATATTTCATCTGTCACATAAGAGATCACAGTCTCTTACACAAAGTTGATAATGCTTACATTTGTACACATCTGTTGAATCATAATGAACTGGACAAGGGTTAGTAAATCTTCTGCAGGACTGGCGATTGTGTTGGATTCTAGCAGCTCTCACATTAAACTCCACACAATGACCTAAAGAAAATTATCTCAGTTCTGACACGTCAAATTGTTTGGATAAATTTACATATGACAACAATTAGAACTAATATAAAATTGAAAAAAAAAAAATCTGTTACAGAACCGGTCTACGAGCCTGTATGAAGTTGATGCTAATCTTATATTTTCATCTTATGTCTACTTTGCATTTAAACGCTAAACATCGTAAGTCCAAGATTTTGATAAAGCAGTATTTAATTCAAAATAGAAATATTCTCGATAAACATTCCTTTTTATACATATTTCTTTGCAGATGAATATTGGAATGTAGCTTTCTGATTAGGAAGTGTTTAATTTCAACAATTATACTAACCAAAAACTATTCTCATTGGTGCGCAAACCTCAAGTGTGGCGTTCTTCCATTCATTGACTGTGCAGTGATACATAAAACGCTCTGGTAATGTACAGTGTTGTTGTATGTTGCGACAGTTTTTTTTAATTTCTCTCTATATCTCCAGTCTTGCTCATTTGTTGGACAGGATTCCACATATTGTATAGTAGATAACGATTCAGGACATCTCCGTAACAAACACATCTGAAATGTTTTTTTTTTTTTTTTATGACGACCACATCGAAGTGAAAGTACATTTGAAATTAATATAATGGCATATTCTGTATGAAAACTTTCATTCTGTGTTTCATCCCTATCAAAAACGTACTTTTATTAACTGTTGTTTACTATATTATCAATTTTTTTTACCATTGTAATTTTTGTAGAAAAAAGATTTTTATTATAGTAAATCAGAGGGTTTGTTTTTTTTACTATTGAATTTCAGATTGTTATATTTCATGTTCTTCAATTCAAACAACACCTTTTTGAATTTCAATGGAAATATGGCTTATATATTCACATAAAATTTCAAGCTTTCACATCATTGATATCGAATTGGAGAGATGATAAGCTTTGAAATCCTCAGAAAAGTTCTAAAGTTCATAGTAAATCAATGTATCAAAGTATTTATTATTATACCTCTACTCTTATTACTCTATATAAAATTAATACCATAAATCTGTCTATTTCCCCGAGAAAATACTATTTCCCCCATCTGAGAACTACTCCCTGAAAAATCAGAGCTACTCCCTGGGACTACTCCCTCATGAATATTTATTATTAATTTTAACCAATTAAAATGAACAGTGGGCGGAGCGTTCAAGGAATCTCGAGTCCGTGACGTAATGTTATTAGAAATGTAACTATGACGTCAAAACACTTCGACATGCGATGTCAAAATCATACTGGAATTTCTAAGGAAAATGAGGACAACGATAATCCTTCGAAATGTTAGTGAAATTATTATTTTTTTTAAAATAATTTTATTTTTTCCGTATTGATGCATTACATATTTAACAAAATTGGAATCACGCGCATTTTTTATTATTTATATAAATGCCTCTATATTGTTTTTAAAATGTCTAAGTCTCTAGTTAATAAATCTCCTTTGTTTGTTTCGGTATAATAAAACGGTTATGGAATGGGTACTCGGGAAATAGCAAATTTATGGTTCCCCTCGGCAGGAAACTATTTCCCTCGGCGGCTTCGCCGCCTCGGGAAATAGTTTCCTCCCTCGGGGAACCATAAATTTGCTATTTCCCTCATACCCATTCCATAACTGTATACTATAGTTAACTATAGTAAACTATAGTTAGCTATATTTCTATAGTAAATTCTTGTAAGGGTGATTTCTTTCAGTAAATACACTACTTAAACATTTTCTTTGTACAAAATTCTTTTTTATTTATCATTATTAAATTTTGTGATATCGTATAGAGATAGAGAATATCATAATGTTAAGTCCATTGATTCTAGAAAGACTGCTATTTTATTGATTAAATAGATAAAATCACTGCACAAGCGCGAGGGATTGCAATTATTACCGTTGGTCACTGAACGATGCCAATATATCCAATAGTTTCTACTGACCGTTATAATGAGTCGTATGGCAAGAAAAAATACATAAAATTATTCTTTGTTGTAAACTCAAAATTTAATGTGAGTAAGTAGATATACTTCACACAACCTTTTTCTTGTAAAGATATAAATAAAATTTTATGTTTCATAAAATGTTTTATATGCAAGCTTTTTACATTGTTAATGTCAAGTCAATTAAATTTTGTAGTTATCATTAGTATGCTGTATTAAGGTCGGGTTCAATTTTAATCGGGATCGAGTTCCCAATATTTAAATCCGGTGGAAACATGAGGTTATGGTAATTTTAACCACCACCTCCCTTCCTCCTCCCATGTATAATTATGTTAGTGGGAAATGTTTGTAATTGAGAAACTTTTGTTTTAACTATCCTTACCATATAGGTTTAATGCACTTATTCTTCATGTAAACTGTGTTTTCTCTCTGGGATTTACAATATATTTGAACTTGTTTTTGAATTATTCCTGTTAGTAACATGCAAGTGGCGCCTCTTTTTGTACGCCACCTTCTTGTTGCACAAACTTTGTAATCAGTTTATATAACAATAGCTGGGATAAGCACTAAGTTGCAATGTAACATATCTAAATTGAAATTATTCATCATTTGACCTTATCCCAGCTTTTAATGTACATTATTGTAATTGTATATTATACATGCTTTTGTTTCACTTCTCGTCATTTATCTTGGCAATAAATGACATATTCACTCAGCTTAAGTTTTTCTGTTTTCCTTAAGTGGTTTAAGCAACAAGAACAAGCTTCAGAAAAGGCATTGAACTTTGCTAAAGTGTGTTATTTGTTTAATGAAAAAGTTGTGAATATAAGTAATATTAAATGAAGAGAGAGAGAGAGAGAATGGCTATCCATACATAAATGTAGTCATAGGCATTATATTTAATTCAAAAAAAGATATATATTTTATTCAGTACAATACACGGAATTTAACAGATTAACACAAAAAATTGTGCTAAAATATTTGAATTGTTCATGATAGGGTATACTGAATAAAAAAGGAGGGGGTTGTCTCAAAAACATGTACAATGTACCCTTGTTTATCCATTGGCAATACATGTATCTGCTCCAATGAAAGAGTTGCAGAAGTATTTGTGATGATGATGCGTTTTTCCCGAAAAAAATCAAATAAAAATAATTATCTTATAAAACAAGTAAAAGTGAAATTTTAACGCAATTAATATTTACTTGATTTTTTGGTGCAAAATTAGCAGAGTGCAAGCCATAGGCCAGTCAAAAAATATGGAAACACAACACAATTTAAATTTTTGTGAATTATCAGTCTTTACAAATTATGTTCATCGATGCCTACTTGTTAAAATAACATTTAAAGCAGCACATTCCCAGCATAATCTCTTCTCATCATTACCATCTATATATACAATATGTTGTCCAAATTCAGATAAGGAATTTCATATGAGGGGATATAGGAAATGCTTAACTAATTATGACTTTTTTTCATTTCAAAGATGCGTATGTATAATTTTTTAACCTGTAATACTTTGTGTACCACTTATTACGTATTTTTTACATATATCTTTTTTTTTTTGGAGATTATGAAATAAAGATCTGTAGTTTTTCTTTTTTTTTTTCATTCATGAATGCTGAAGCATTTTTCTTTTCATTATACTGAGTCAAAACAGTAAATGTTCATATAGTATACACAAAAAAAAAATGAATATAATACAAGGATATTAACCATCTAAATTGTAGTCAACATTTCGCAAATTCTATGGCTGCATGATACGACGAAGGTGTTTGAAAATTCAATCTATATTTAGGCTGAATGTTGACTGGTGTCTTTCATACGTCAAGTTGTTAGGCCTTTAATTTATCTTCAAGTCAGCAATAGCTTATATGCCGCATAATGTTTTCCAAAAAAAGTACTTACAAGAGTAACTTGTTTTAAAATTTCAACTTCATTTTTGCTAAAAGAAAAATCTTTTAGAGACACCTTTCAGGCATCTATAAAACCAATGCTTGCAAAACTGTCGAACAATTTACTTTTGTCGAGCTGATTCCTCAAAACTGCTAGACCAAAACTTCCTATATTGTGCCCAACCAAAATATGTTTACAGTCTACGGCCTTCAAAAATTCGACAAAATGCTGAACTCTTTTTTTTCCGAGGACTCTTTTGGTTCAACCACCCTGCCATTGCACTTCAGCACTCCATCAACAAAATATTTGCAGTTGCTGCAGATGCATAAATACTAATCGAGGACTGCGGTGTCAAATATATATTGGACTCTCTCTCTCTCTCTCTCTCTCTCTTTCTTTCCACATACAATATCAGATATCAGGTGTTCTGGGTAAAATATATTAAATTACAGGTAATATTGAAACAAGTATAGTGTTTACTTCTAAGTAATCCAAGTAAGAAAGCAAGAAACAAAACCCTCTTAACCTGGAATTATATAGCAACTTTAAAATATTTCTGAGATACATGTATTTAACACAATGTAAACTTTTTCACAAATTTAATGCAATATATAGTCTTTTGATCAAAAACTAGGATTTGCTTGTACTTGGCAGTTAATATGGTTTATTCAAATAAATGTCTTCCAAATCGACTTCATAATCCAAACCAAATTTGCTGCATTACATGTCCGCTGCAATATAAATGTTTTTAAAAAATCACCTATATATAAACATCAAACGTATAAAACTATTGCGAATCAGTTGTATTTATGTGAAATACCTTCAAGAAGAAACTGTGATGCATCTTTTGCAGTCAGTTTTGACAAGCTCTAAACGCCTCCGTTTTGTGCTCCGCTTTGCTTGTCGTAATCGCTTCCGCTTCAGTCTACTTCGCAGTATTCTGGAATGTTTGAGGGTGTATCTTCCAGGAGATATTGCCAATCTTTTTCTAGCAAAAAAAAAAAAAAAAAAACAAAACAAAAACAAAAACAAAAAAAAAAAAAAAACAAAAACAAAAACAAAAAAAAAAAAACAAAAAAAAACAAACAAAGTCTCTTAAAACATTGAATTGCATATACAATAAAAATGTTTTGAAAATGAAACTGTGTAAAGTAAACCTAAAAGATGTAGAACAAATATGAACATAAACTACACAAGTGAGTTTAGGCAAGGTATGAGCAATTCCATGCCAGTGATCTTATTTAACGTATTAAAGGTAGAAAAGTCCAAAAAGAAGATTTATACTGCTTCCTACTTCATACATCCTTAAAGATAATTAGTACCTATGACATGTTATGGTCAATACACATTTTGCATGCTACAGTCAAACATGTCTACATCTACTACCATGAGTTTGTGATGTTAAGATAAGATCAATGTGTGTATTCTCATTTTAACATTCTTCAATATTTTGTGGGTATTGCTGATTTCCAAAAGAATTCTAGTAAGTCCTTTTTGTGTGGTTTCTGTCCGCCTTTTTCTGTATATATGTATCAACATTTCCATTAATTTGGCTATTGTTTTGAAATCATTGTCCATAACTTATGTGCAGACCTAATAACATGTAAGGTTTTCAATCCGTAATAGAACCAAATTCTCTGTCCCTAAATGTCCATCACGTACATGATACTCTGATATTAATTTAAAGCATTTTACAGTAGAAAAGGATTTACATGTAA